TTAAGTATCAAAAACCAAATTCTTCTCCTACTATACACCATATACCACATTTTTCACAAACTCTTGCCTTCAAAATCCTCCCGCAACCTTCCACCTCCAATTCCGTTGCCTGCTTTCATCTGCGAGCTTGCCTTGATTGCACGAGCTCCAACCTACATCCACACCAGCCCTTACCTTGTGTGAACCTTCCGACCCAGTTAAGCTCCTTAGTCGGATGCCTCCCAGTTTCGCCTCTCTTCCTATCACGACCAAACTACTCCAACAACCTAGCGATAACCAGTCTCCCACACTACAGAAAAAAAAGAAAGAGAAAAGAAAATAAAAAAGATTCAAAAATTGTGTGTACATTTTTTGTCATCATCGTCACCTTAACACCGCTTCGATGTTGCCGTCAACCAAATGAAAAAATATGAAATCTTGTTTTCGAAGCTCGTGGTGTACCGAAAAAACACCAATGCACTCTTTTCTATAGCTTGGTGGGAGGGAATCTTGTGCGGTGGTTGTGGCGAGGCAGGTAAACCTTGTATACACTTTTCTCTAGCATGTTAGGGACAACTTTAAGTACCCGTGCGATCATCAGTGCCGGCGGGAAAAGAATTGTGCAAATATTTCAAACAGGTACCCTTGGAGAACCATACATGCCTTTTCTTGCTTGATGGAATTAAAGACCATGGTTATAGTGTAGCCCGACACCTACCATGCATATTTTTTTCTAGCATGGTGGGAAGACACAACTCTTGAAATTTCACGTAAATGGGAGAAACATCAGGAGGCTGGCGAATTTACCAGAGGACATGAACTATACAAAACCACATGGAACTTTACTTGAACTTGAATGAACCACAGAGGGCCAAATTTGAACAAAAAATGTAGCGGACTTGAACACATTTAGGGAATTGAATCTAATGTCACCATAAAAATCTAACTTATAAAATGATAAAAATCAAGTGCAAATACGCAAGAAGGGGACTCGTGGTGAACAAATGCTCAATGCACACGAATGATGAGCGATGACATGTAGTTGACCTGCAACATTCAAATAATCACAAGCAAACATCACTAAGCAAACAAGGACTTGATAGGCAAAATTCCAAACGCCACTCACTTGCAAGAAAACACGGACAAGCAACAATCATCCATGAACATTAACAGAGAAGACTTGTAATAAACAAAATGATTCACCTAGGGCATAGGTGTGAACTCATGATAAACATGGTCATTCGCCTGCAGGCAGCTACAAGCTACTTATGGCGAATAACCTCTCTATGCATACAAATGGTGAACAATGAAATTAAAATAACTTGGAATATTCAACCAAACTAACAGTAAATAGAGCAAGTGATACTCGTGTCGGCCATACAAGCAAATATAGCTACCCTCTACAAGTAGAGGGATTTGATAGGCATTGAACATAATGATGTGACATATTCAATGAGTTTAAAAAAAATGAAGTTGGCTCGCAATCAATACCATCCAACTCCAAACACTACTTGTTGGCAAACAAAGATCAAATGGTCAATGTGCAATGGATGTAGTAGCATCCATATAGTTGGCTCTAAGCAACATTTGAGTGAACATGCCAACTCCTTTGGATATTGAAGGTTAAAATGAAGCAAAAGTAGCAATTTGCTAACCAACATACGTAGGGAAATTGATGATGAATGCAGCTTGCTAGTTAGCATCAATTTGCAGTTTGACATAAGATCGACATACAAGCAATTGCAGCAACTCATCAACTAACAAGCATAGGGAAATTAGTGATTAATATGAATCATCCGACAGTTAATGTGGCTTGCAGATAAATACATAACCCTACTTGCAGTCAATAGACGTTGGCTGACAAATAAGTGCATTAACTTGTTCATGAGCAATAATAGTAAACACGGTGACCCTGCCAGCTAATGGGCATAGAGAAGCCATTGATGAATGCAGCTTAACTGGTAATCCAAATGACACACAAATGAACACATTAAACTACCTGCAATTGATGATGTTCCCCGCATGTGTATACAAGTAGCATGCAACAAATGCTGCAGCATCCTTGTAATCGATGTCAATGTGCAATGGATGTAGTAGCATCCATATAGTTGGCTCTAAGCAACATTTGAGTGAACATGCCAACTCCTTTGGATATTGAAGGTTAAAATGAAGCAAAAAGAGCAATTTGCTAACCAACATACGTAGGGAAATTGATGATGAATGCAGCTTGCTAGTTAGCATCAATTTGCAGTTTGACATAAGATCGACATACAAGCAAATGCAGCAACTCATCAACTAACAAGCGTAGGGAAATTAGTGATGAATACGAATCATTCGACAGTTAATGTGGCTTGCAGATAAATACATAACCCTACTTGCAGTCAATAGACGTTGGCTGACAAATAAGTGCATTAACTTGTTCATGAGCAATAATAGTAAACACGGTGACCCTGCCAGCTAATGGGCATAGAGAAGCCATTGATGAATGCAGCTTAACTGGTAATCCAAATGACACACAAATGAACACATTAAACTACCTGCAATTGATGATGTTCCCCGCATGTGTATATAAGTAGCATGCAACAAATGCTGCAGCATCCTTGTAATCGATGTCAGTTCTCTCGCAAACAAGTACACTAGGCCCTGTAAGTGGCAACGACTGATATACGAAGAGTGTGAAAGACCCCTTGCTAGCATATGTAGTGCATCACATGATGAATACGAATACTTGTCGGCAACGGTAGAAGAATTTTTGCATGCACAATGACATGCATATAAGTGATGATCAACAATAGATAGTGAATGTAGAGAAATCCCTACAACCCACGCTAATCAATAGGCAAATGAGCACACAAGCTCTTACAAACTACGCTTGCCCACAAGTGACAACAAGAGACTGGAAATGCATATAATGACCTGTCCATAAATAGTGTTAGAAGGATAACGAAGAATACAACAGCTTATTCATAAGTGGCTATAGAAGACCCTTCATACACATTACATGCCACTTGCAAGAAAATGCAGGAGATTTGTTAATGCACGACAATCTACCTGTATAAAACAACAAATGATATGTAGCATGACTCAAATTGTCGAACAAAATACGATCGCGGTATTGACCTTAATATTTATTTTATATGTTTATATTAGACCTTCAAGGTCTATTACAAAAAAGATTCATTAATATAGGCATGAAGCCGATAATAACTCGATCTTCTATTGACAAGTCGATAGAGTCGACAAAGTTCAACCATTAAATTAAAATTCCCCATAAAATACCTCGATGATGGCCGCATTGACAGAAAATCTTAGCGAGAGGGAACAAAAAACATAGAAATGCCTCCCAAATTCTCATGAAAATACAAAACTAAAAATAAAGGATCACCAAAAGCCTAAGATATTTAAATTTGTAATAGATCATTAAATATTTAAATCAAAACTCATCCACCCTCCACAACAGTATGTCGAGGTGGATAAATTTAAAAATCACTTAAGCTCACAAAGAGTAAATCTCTTGTCGAAAATATCTCTATGATTTATTCGCAATCCATCTCTTACCAGTAAGGATATAGCACGTATCCTCCAACTGGTAGTTTTACCGCCAAATGACACCGCAGGTAAATGGTTATGATCGGGACCCTCTGAATTGGGTGATTTTGCCGCTAAATGGCACACTAAATTACGGCCATGGTCAGAGCCCGCATGTTCCCCAATGTCTTCGAAACCTTGAAATATGAATTAATAGGATATAATCGATATGGCACAAAGTCGTCTGTTAGCTAAGGTTGATTCAAATGCCATCTTAGACAAATATTCACCCCAGGTCCACAAGCTACTCTTAAACGAAGCAACTCATGGTTACCGACAAGGATCCTTCTATCAGGTTGGGTCGACTACCTCCTTTAACTAAGTAGAATAGGGATTGTGATGACCCAGGACAATTGAACCTTAGGATCTGCATCGGGTCCATCATCACTTCTTCACCATCCGCTTTTAGTGCAAGATGGTGAAATTTTCAATTTTAAATTTTAAATATCAAAAACCAAATTCTTCTCCTACTATACACCTTATACCACATTTCTCTACGTATCTATTTGACGACTAGCCTTAATCGAAAATTCTCTCTCGCTATGGGGAGGGGTAATTAACTATAGGGGCTTGCGCCTATAGGAAACCTGAACTCATACTATAAAGTCCTCACAAAATGAGGGTAAAATCTCTAGATAGTGACTTATCTATAAACCCAATCTGCCTTCTGAAAATTTGCCTAGAAACTCAACTGTTAAAACTCTCCTCGACGACTCGAACAAAAGATTAGGGTTTGCGGAGAGGCCTTGGCGCAAATTTTCGGAGCCCACAACATTCCTTTGAGTTTATGAATTTCATGGAATACACTTCCACATGCTAGGTAAAGTAGAACTCCAACATTGTCTCAGCATGCTTACAATTTTCATTCCTACTTTTTGTGTATTATTTCATTTCATTTTATTTTATGTTATGAATTTCTTGAAGGAAGATGAATCTTGGATGAGAGAGAGGTAGGAAAAAGAAGAGAATAGGAACTAAATCTTTTTCTTGGCTTGCACGCTTAGAACTTTTACAACCGTCTCTATTTATAGAATAAAAGAGCTAAAAGGATAAATTGCAGTTAAAAGCTAACATAATCTAAAATTGAACCAATATCTAACATTTTAACTTACGAATCTTCTATCAACTTATCAACAGGGACAACATCTATTTTCATTACTTATATCCTTTTAGTTATGATAAGAACAAAGAAGATAGTGAAGGTTACATGTATTGTGTCGAAATATTTGCAACAATTGTGCAAACCAAACCAATGCCATGCTAACCTTAATAATATACTATGCTTATCCTGAATTCTGATTGAATCTGATACTCAAATTATGTTTGCTTTATTTAAAAACTCAAGGATCTTTGCTCTCAACAGCAACCATTTCATATTTTCAGATTATTTCTTTCTTTGTTTACAATTACTAATGTGTATCAATCAAATTCAGGGAGTTCGAAGAGAGGTCGGCTACCATGCTAAGATTATTAATGAGTTATTGAAAGCTCAGGATTTGAAATCTAAATCAGGTACATCCTCTATAACTTCTGGGGAAAGTGGTTCTGTGTTTTCTGACTCGGAGAATGCTAATAATTGCATTGGAAAAACAAAAACAAATTCCCTGCTAAAATCTGGAATTACTTCAAGTAATTTGGAGACATTGCAGAGTTTAAAAGTTGATTTCAAAGAAACATCACATAAATCAGAGAGCAGCTGTAGCCCATTGAATGAATCAGTTGGCCATACAGAGATTCAGGTGTTAGCAGGTGGTCTGTTAGGTTTCATTATAAGTTTGATGGTTAATTCAATCATTTAATTTCTAAAAGCTGCAATAACAGTTATACAGTAAAATTTTGATGTTTTGAAGCTGTAACATTATTCATTTATCCTTGATAAATCTTTTAAGTATTATTTACATAACTCGTCTACTATTACATTGTTTGTTCCTTGTCCAAGCATTCAGAGTTGATTAGTCAGGATTTCCTAGCCTTTTGAAAACTTTATCTTGTTCGAAAAAAGTTCAAATGTGTGTGTGTATATATATATATATATAGTTGCGATTTACATACATGCCACATAGTTTATATCTATTTATACATCCAACACATAAATTTTCATACTGTCTAAACCAGATATCAGATAAGTTTAAGTTAATGATGATATTTTTAATATGATTTAGAGATTTGGGTGATATGCATGTAAATATATATCAAAATTTATTTATTAGATGCGTTAAATAAGTAAAACATTTGTTGTATGCATGCTGTAGTTTTTTATCTTTTTGCTTTAGTCATGGATGTTCTTACTAGAAATTTGCTAGAGGAGATATCCTAGTGTATGTTTTTTGCTGATGATATTATACTTGTTGATAAGACTAGAAAGGGAGTTGAAGGTAAAGTTGAATTATTTAAAGTTTTCATTTCAGTATATCTAAAATAGATTACATGAAGTGTAATTTTATTAGTAATAGATCTATTGGGGGGATTGTGACTTTGGACGATCAAATCATTAATAAGAGTACATGTTTTAGATATCTCTGATCTATTGTCTAGAGTGATGGTGAAATAAATGAGAATATAATTAGTAGAATTCAAGTTCGATGCTTGAAGTGAAGGAATTCATTGGGTCTGTTGTGTGATACAAAAGTACCCTCAAACATTAAGGGAAAATTCAATAAGATGGTGGTGAGAGCTGTAATGCTTATGACGTAGAATGTTGGCCATTAAAAGAGAAGCATAAAATTAAGTTAAGTGTTGTAGAGATGAGGATGCTCAGATGGATGAGTAGTTTTGCTCTTAGAGATATAATGCGAAATGAGTATATAGCTGAAAAGGTTGGAGTAACTCCAATGACAAATAAGATTAGAGAGAGTTACCTTAGATGGTTTGGTCACATAAGCCGTCGGCCATCTGATGACTTGTGACTTGATTATAAGAGTATATGTATTAGATTTGGCCTATTTTAAGAGACTTGGTTTAAAAAAATTTCTAGAAATAACATTTTTTTTATTAAATTTAAATGAGAATTTAACTCTTAACAGACACAATGGATAAAATAGATTCATGTAGCCGCCCCCACATAGTGTGGATAAAGACTTGATGTTGTTATTGTTTATAAAATATCATTGAGCCAGACCCACAAAAGGTGCTTGCAAATAACCACTTAACCGCTGTGAAGTGGTTTTATTTATTTGTTATTTGGTGTAATCGTCAAGCATGATTATTGGACCAAATGAATAGATAGATAAATAATCTATATTATTAATTTATCATCATCCGAAATAGAAGAACACAATGCAAACTACTTCACAGCAGCGGCTGTGACACTGCAGCAGAAGGGAAAAGCTCAAGGAACTCATCAGTCTTGCATTCTTCTTCCGCCGGAACCGGCTTCTCTCTGGCAGTTGAAGTAGACCGCGGCCACCGGCGAACCCAGATTATATAGCTCGGCGAAGTCTCGGGTATTGAAATTCTGACGCCAGCCAGGGGCGTAAACTGTCTGCCGGCCGAGCTGATGAAAGAGAACAAATATGAAGCGATGTATGCCTAGGCTTGGCCGAGGGCTCTCATAGCACACTATCTCACTGCCTGTACTAATTAATATATTTACATATTAATATGTTAACATAAGAAAAATGGCATAAATGTATATATGCTTACCAAATGTCGCGCTGGTCGTTGCAGGGATATCTGTGACCAACCTGCGTCAAAAATATTGGACAATAAACTAAGTTAATTCTTTTATTTTTTTTATCTAATTTTTTTATTGACAATAAGGCTTTATTTGGGACAACTTTCTTCTGCTTTTCTAGTACAAAATTTTAATTTTTGTACTAAAAATCATTTTAAGAAACATTAAGAAAGCCGTCCCAAATGAAGCCTAAATCGAATTGAATATACATGTACCCAAATTTATTCTTTATTTTTTTATTTATTTTGAGGCTTTGTTTGAGATAACTTATTGTTTTGCTTTTAAGTACTTGGTCATTATTTTTTCGTTACTTTCATAAAAATTTTAAACTAGAAAATAATTTTGGGTCAAAATATTCTAATGAAAATTTGAATAAAATTATATTCGAAATTATTAAATTTTATATTAAAAGAGCATAAAACATGAATAATTAATTAAAATCTATATTGCATTAATCTCAAAATATATATATCATTCTTATAAAAAAATTTTGATAGAATATCTTGACTGTTTTTTTCTAATTTTATTCATTCAATTTAATTTAAATAACTGGAATTAATTCTAGCATTTTTTTAAAGTATTCCTATTTTAAAATATTAATATCAGTCAACTAAGTAGATTGAATTGAGCTAATTAGAGAGGATACGAGTCAACACTCAAACATAAAAGTCTTCCCTATAAAGTAAGCCTTTTAGTGAAAAAGTTATTATTTTTTAAATATTTAATATAGAAAGAAAGTGCTCTTACATATATATATATATATATAGTATTTCCTTAAACCGAATGTAGAACCTTCTAATAGATGAACTAGCCTATTTAAAATCGAATTATTTTATTTTTGATAAAATATGTTTTTTTTGGTGCAACATCCTTCTTTATAGTACAAGGAATAAAAATGTCCATTCATTTATTAATTTAATCGTTTTAAAAAGATTTCTCATACAATTATCTAACAGCAATTTAAATGAATCTATTTGAAAAGCATAGAAGTTAATTTAGGATTCAATATTTGGGATTCTTTTTATTTTTTAAGTGGTATTTTATTACAAATATTTTTTTACATAGAAATCTTTGTAGTTAAAAATTACTTTAAAAAAAAATAAGAAAATCATCTTAAACGAAGCCTTAGCTATTCTTAGCATTTGTATCTTAAAGTTAATGGTATATTGTTACATCGCCCTTCATTTGCCTTTAAAATTTGCCTTTATTTTTTTCTCTATGATTTGACTGAAAAGGTTGTGGAATAAGAAGTTTAGGCTCTTTATTTGGGACAATTTTTTACTCATATTTATCTGTTATTTTAAAAAAAAAAGTTTTGTAATAAAAATATATTTAAAAAAAAAAAAAACTATCACAGATGAAGCCCCAGTTTCATATTATTTAGATTTCTTTTTTTCAATAAAAATTTGATTTTTTTTAATGAACTAATATTTTGTTGTTTAAAAGAAATCTAATGATATAATTTGTAAGAAAGTTTGAGAAAAAAAAAAAAAAAAAAAAACCTGTTCTAATTCTAAGTATTTCGTCCAACATCACCCATATATTTTGTGGCAATTTTTTTTCTTCTCAGGTTCTTAAGAACTGAGTAATAAAAGGTCTTAGACACCTGGTTACACTCAATGAAACAGTTTAAATGCACAGTAATTCGTACTAATTGAACTACGTTGTATACCAAGGAAGATCAAAGTGTGAAAAATCAGTCGTATATCCCATCCTGCACTGACCTGCAATATATCAACGTAATATATATCCTATAAAGTAGTCTCATTATCGTACAGTCCAATATACTTTATCTTCTTCATAGAAACCCCTTCCATTAACATTTAAACTACTTAAAAATGAAATACCCCCAGAGAGAGAGAGAGAGAGAGACAGAGAGAGAGAGAGAGAGAGAGAGAAGCGTGTGTTCCATATTACCAGTGTAAGTACTCTCTAAGCTGAGGATGACTTGGACTTGGAGCATCTGGATCGACCATGACCTGCGACACAAACATAAAATTATGCTTATTCAGTTCAATTATCAACTCTTGAAACTAGAAAAAAAAAAAAAAAGCTTTTTATTTTGCTTTTTATTGAGAAGCCATGATGTAAATAACTAAATTACAAGAGTGTAGAAAGTCCTGAGATCATTCCCTCCAACTTCAACTCTTGGCTGCTCCACCACTGCTGAGGGCTTCAGCTCTAAGCCATTGGTGACATCTTTGGAATTGTAAGTAACCCTGAGAGAAAGGCGCCTTGTGAAGGGATCAAGCACATCGCCTATCACTCTTCCTACAGTCAAAGGGTCTCTCTCTCTACTCATCTCTATCTTCCTTTGATACTGCAAGGCTGATGTGTTGAGTGAGATGTGTGAGCTCTGTACCTGTTTATATGCACTTGCTTGCCGATGGGATGAATAGTGGTATGACTTAATTAGTTAGAAAAGAATTATTTCAGTATTAAAAAATCAATTTAATATATATTTAACAATTTGTGAGAAAAAGAATTGATGATAGGAATATACTGCATTGATTGGGAAGTGTCTATTTAATTATTAGTACTTTTTTTGGTTAAATATTATTATTAGTACCATGTTGTTGGTTGGGTGAGTAAAATAATAATTACTCGTTAGACTGTGGAAATGATTGGATGAGCCATCCTGCGCTAAATTAGCTAAGAATATCCACCGTTTTTATTAATATATAAGACGGGTTTTCTACTTAACAATGTGGAAAATTAAGGAGCGTTTGGGATATATATATCTTAAAATTTTGATTTTTTTATTGATTATTAAAAAATTGATTTATATGATAATGAATTATTAGACGACTAGCTAGGCAATGACAATGGCAATAGCAGATGAAGACGAATAGTGCTCGGAGGTGATTGATAGTTGATGATGACTGGCTTTGATTGGAAGTGGTGGCTTGGGGGTGCTTGTAGATAATGGTTGGTGATCAATGGAGGTGGACAGTAATATTAGTCACAAGTGGATGGCTCAGTATGATTATAATTATTTTAAAAAAAATATATAAACAATTATTTGAAATATATTTAAAAACGACTTGATTAATCTTTTAAATAAAAAATAAAAATAACTAAGTTTTACTAACTAAATATGTTTAAAAAAAATAATAATAAAAGCAACAATCATCCCAAATGCATCCTTAGTGGCAAAGATTAGCCCTGGTGCTCAAGTCCATTATCAATTTAACTCTTTGATGTGGACATAAATCTAATATTTTTAACTCTGATGTGAGACAGAAATCTAATATTTTCACCTGCCCTACAAGATATAAATTTTTTTGTTTGGTAACTATTTAAAATTGTTTTAGTCTTTATCTTATGTACTAAAAATAATATTACAAATAAATGGAATTGGTAAATATAGTATTCTCAGCAACCCTAACATGCAATATATAATTATTTTCTTATTTGGTAAAATCTAACTATCTACAATTGCTTTAGTCTTTTCTTATATACTAAAAAAATATTACAAATAAATGTAATTGGCCTTGAAATTTAAGGGAACAACAAAATCCTTTGGTTTCAGCTTGTTATAGCTAGATAGCTCTGGTAATGCACATTCCACTCTTTTATGTCATATTTGAATTGTTAAGATAATTTTTTTTCCCAAACAAAAACTTGAAAAATAATTTATTTTTTCAAAATTACATCAGGAAATGCACCTTATATTTTTGTAAAAATACATATTCCAACGAATAAAGAAGACATTTTAATTAAAACTTTTGTTTACATAAAACTCATATTACATTTTTTTTTTAATATTTGTTTCGTTTGGGATAACATTCTTACTACTTTTTGAAGTAATTTTTTAGTAAAAAATTTATACAAAAATTTACTTTAGAAAGCAACAAAAAAGCTATCCGAAACGAAATGTTAATCATCATATGATTTTTCCTATTTAATGGCTAATGTAATCAGCCCTATTATTTTGAAATCAAAGGTTTATTTGGAATAATTGTTTAAAAAAAATGGAATAATTGGTTTTTAAACAATAACTATGATTTAATTTCGCTACCATTTTTTTTTTTGTTATTTTTTTCTATTTTTCAAAAAAATTTACAGCGGAAATTGTTTTTTACAATCAGAACACCTAAACTATTTTTCCAATAAATTTCTCAATCAATTCACGAAAAGCTGCAGCCATCATATAGTATAAATTTGATTCAATAATAATTTTCTTTTGTTTGAAAACAAAATTTTCAATTTTCAAACTTTTTTATGGTATGATTGATTTCAGATTTGCATACAAAATATTTATACCGTGGAATAAATTTCTTACTCTTTCAATTTAAAAAAAAAGAAGAAAATGTATAGAACATTTATGATTAAAAACTCGTACTTTTTAACGTAAACTTGGCTACGGCTTTTATCATTTTATTATAGGCCGGCAGATAAGTTAAATAGACTAACACCAACAGAGTCTCCGTGGTCTTGTTTTTTAACTGATGGGACCACACCTTAACTTTTGTTCTCACACGCATGAGAAAGTTAATTTAGTATATATATAAAATAATATTCAAATAATAATTTTAATATTTTAAATAATTTCAAAATAAGAAAAACTCTTATGTTAATTTGATAACTATATTACTTGTTACGAGCTAGAATATACGCGGTGATAGAGTTATAATCATACGTCTTAGTATTGTACGAATATCCAGCTCATACATAGAGGACACAAGATTTTTATGTGAAAAATCTTGGAAATGGGAAACATTACGGGGCATGCCCCAGTTAAAAATGATTCCACTAGAATTCGATTAGATTACTGTGGGGTGATTCGTCCCTAAGGGCGATCAGATTACAAATGCCAACCGTATGATTGAAATCTAGTGACAAATGTGCATGAAAATCTGGCATCACTTGGTGGTCCATTGGAAGTTTGGAGTTCCTTTGAAATTTGGGCGTTAGTTTGTAGTTCGATGATGGTTTGACAGATTATAAGCATGTCACGTTTGAAAACTGTTTGGTAATCCAAATTGTGGTTCGAACCTTATAACAATGCTTCGGGCCCTTAATTTAGACCCATTTGGCCTCAGATTGAGTTGAATTTGGTGTAGTTGAGTTCATATTTTCGAGTAATTGAATTCAACTATAAGTTTGCTGAATCGAAGTTCGGATGGTCCCAATTTTAATTTTGCAAGTTTCAAACTTGATTTTTCCTCGAGATTCGTGCCTGATCAAGATAATTTTTTGAGTATGTATCATTAGTTAATTTTTTTTTTCAAATTAAGTTTAGATCAGATTATTCATTATATAATTAAAAAATTTATTTATATACTGAAAATTACCTTTTAATTTCATATCAATTAAATCTAGATTAATATCTCTATTATTTATATGTAATATATACATTTTTTATAACAAACAACAATTTTTATTCCAACACATAAAAGAGTAGAACCAGTTAAAAATTATACAAAAAAAAAGCTACAGAGAAATAAAGGGACCAACTACCCGAAGCCAGGCTCGGGCCATCAGGCTTAGTAATTGGTAGAGGCTACCAACCACCCGAAGTCAGGCTCGGACCATCCAGTATGGAGTAAAAGTAGACACGCCACCAAAGGTTGCTACGAGCCACGACAACAGATAGTGAGCCCTAGCCACATCATTGCCCATAAACTCACATTCGCATCCACAATTATTAAACAAAGCTCCAGCAAAACTGCAACCACCAAACGAAAGAGAAGAAGTAACCCATAGTGCCATCCAACTAAACAGCCCACAGCCATAACCCAAAGGAGAGAAACCGACCACAATGAAACAACAGGTTTAGAGAAGAACCAATAGCTCCCCAAAATAATTTCCTACCACGTCTACCCCTCCCCCGAGAGGAAATGAACACAACAGGTCAGTCTTTCTGCAAAATAAAATTATCCTCAGGTTATTCATCCTCTCTTTCCTCCGAGGACGAATCAGATGAACATTGAAGCAAATCTATTTGCATCCTTACATCCTCCCCCGAATTGGCACCCACGTGAGAAAACAAAGACTCATGAGATATAAAATTAACAGAAACCTCAAGAAATGGACCAGGCACTAGAACAGTATGCATCACCGGGGAGTTAACAGAAGGGACAACCAAACGAGCAGAGACCTCACCGACATCTAAAGTATCAAAATTTAATTTAGAGATAGAAAGAGCCAGATTAAACTTATAGACATTAGAATCCACACTTTGCAAGTTCGAAGCCAAATTAATAGAGGAAGAGGTAGTATCTGGACTGACAATAACCAATGGAGACAAATCCACACCACGACCAGGAGAAAGAGAAGAGGCAGAAGGCTTAACGCCCACACACGGCCCAATTTCCACAACCAATTTGCTCGGGTAGACCTACTCGCACAGGATACAGAAGGTTTCGAGATAAAAAGCCACATTTCAAAACTCCAGGCTCACCCAAGCACAACTGAGGGAGCTTGGAAACAGGGGCCACTCCCTCCAAACCCTCAACAAAATCCAAATGGACAAAATTAACAAGACTAACCTCCTCACACTCTACACCATTCACAACCTAAATAGGAGTAACCAAATCAGAAGAAATAAAAGCAGGGGCATTAGGTGGCATAGGTAATTCAATCATAGCAGACTCGAAACCTTCAGCCGGAGCCACAAAAATAGATGGGTTAACACACAGTCATCAACTCCCAACAAATTAGGAGTAGGAAAAGCAGCAGAGTCAAGATTAGGGTGAAGAATCCTACACCCAACCTTAGAATGTCCCAAAGAAAGATAATGCGCACAATAGTTAGGAAAGTCTTCAAAAATCACATATTGAGCATAACCAGTGCTATCCAAGCCAGTCCAAATTTTGTCCTGATACTGTTTGGACACATCCATTTCAACTAAAACGCACACAACTGACGGACGTGAACCAGTGGTAGTAGCATTATCAGTTTTCAACAGTTTGCCAAAAATTAAAACTAAACCATGCAGAATACGCGAGGCAAACAAGTGAGGCCGGAGATTAGAGAAGGAGATCCAGATAGGCATAATAGGTGATTTGATCTCATTATACAAGGTAGGAGACCATTTAACCAATTTCATATAACAACTACTCACGAAATACGACCTATGAGAAAAAACCCTACAAATATTCAAGTCGTTAAAGAGTTTAATCAACACATTCCACTGATTCAGGACATTAACATAGACTTCGCCATTAAGCTTAAGCTTGAAAAAGAAACTCCTAATAGCATCAAGGGAAGGTCTACGCTCAGGGAATTTACCTATCAGAGCATATTCGAAAGAGGCAGCCAAAGACTGGATTTTTTCCTCAAAAATCCATAGAGCATGTAAACCTCTATGCGAAGAAATTGTGAGTTCAGGAAAAGGCATGGAAGAAGGCGAAG